CATCAGTGTAGCCCTTAGCATCACTTTGAATCAGCAGGTCAAGTCTGCCTTAAAGCCATCCAGTTAGAGTCACCAAAAATGGTGGTCAAGCCAAGGAGAAACTAATATTCTGATCAGCCTCTGAAACAGAAAAAGGCACAGCAAAAGAGGTAGAAAAATTTCTTCTGTACTACTAGAAGAAATCTTCCAGCAGCCATCAGTTCTGCCTCCCCAGGCCATCTCTGACATCTCTCTCAATAGGCCTTCTATGCATTTGGTATTGGAGGGTAAAATGAGAGGAAAGGGACAATTCATCTTGCTAGCTCTGACAGCACTCATTTGGGGGCAATACTGACTTGGGGAAGACCTCAAGGCTCTTGACAGCATCTTATTACTGTTCTTCCAAGACCACTTACACATGCTGTTGAATGTATCTGCCCTCCACACCATCACTAATTGAGGTCTCTTTATTACTATTAATGTTGGTACCTACCATCTCCCAATTGGTGTTAGTACAGGTTTCAAGGATTGTAATACTATTCATGTTCCACCAGCTGGTCTTCTTACCATCAGGAACGTAGGGACCATGGACAGCAATGCATATTATCTCACCATTTGCCATTCCTGATACCACTGACAACGATACAACTATCAAGACTGAGTTTGGTACCTCTTTTACCACTTGTTGTTTCTGCTCAACGTTCTACAGTCACTACTTTCTGTTCTCAGTTGGGAATTGTACTGATAGCAACTGTGCAACCTATGAACATACCAACTCATTCGGAATTACAGTCAATGTTAACTTCAGCGTATGTGGCACATACTGTACTAACCACCAAGTCTCATATTAGGACCTTCATTGTAAAACAGTGGTTGAAATCCTGTTTAATGTAGTAAGTCATGTTAGTGTAAGCCCATTGAAACAGTGGAGATTTGGTGAGTCAACCCATCCATAAATTCCATTGATTCAAATGGGTGTATTTTAGTTACAATGTGCTATAATAAAATTGCAACTTCCTATGGTGAAACTGCAATCAGAGTTGTCTCTGACACAAGGGAAATCAATCTTCTTCCCATGACATGATATAGAGGGCAACCCTAGTGTAGGCCCTGTAATTTTAGTATCATGCCAGTGAGTTTCTCTGGCTGTGCGGGGATTTGCACTTTAGTCTGATACTCTATTCACAGTGCCATATTGGTACCACACACAGACACATTTATTTATTTATTTATTTTATTTCTATCCCGCCTATCTGATCAAATTAGACCACTCTAGGCGGCTAATGTATACATAAATACTTCCTGTGTAGTATATAGTTTATATAGTATACGGTTTATGTATATAGTATGTATATAATGTGCACTTTAGTCTGATACTCTATTCACAGTGCCATATTGGTACCACACACAGACACATTTATTTATTTATTTATTTTATTTCTATCCCGCCTATCTGATCAAATTAGACCACTCTAGGCGGCTAATGTATACATAAATACTTCCTGTGTAGTATATAGTTTATATAGTATACGGTTTATGTATATAGTATGTATATAATGTAAAATGTTTATTTTATTTATTTATTTATTAGATTTTTTTTACCCTGCCCCTCTAGACTATGTCTACTCGGGGTGGCTTACATCGATAAAAACACATCAATATAACATGCATAAAATCACAAAAAATACAATTATAACAATTGAATTCCAAATGAGATATTACCAGGATGGCATGACTTAAAGAGAGAGAGAGAGAGAGAGAATAGATAGATAGATAGATATAGATATAGATATAGATTTATA